GTTAGAAGAATGTCGATTTTGTAAGAAGCCACGATTCAAACCGCAAGGTCGAGGGCGCAATAGGGTACCGTACCAAAGGATGTGGTACCTACCAATCACAGACAGATTGAAAAGATTGTACTAATCTGAGGAGACTGCTGGAGGGATGAGATGGCACGCCTAGCATACTCAGACGGATGGAGAGATGACTCATCCATCATATGCAAGAGCCTGGAAACATTTTAACAATGTACATCCACATTTCGCTAGCAATAGCCGGAATGTGTATCTTGGATTATGCACTGATGGTTTTAGTCCATTTGGAATATCTAGGAGACAATATTCATTGTGGCCGGTCTTTCTTACACCGTATAACCTTCCACCGGAGATGTGCATGCGGCGAGAGTTTCTATTCATGAGCATCTTAATACCTGGTCCAAAACATCCAAAAAGATCTCTCGACGTTTTTCTACAACCACTGACAAAAGAGTTGAAAGATTTGTGGTCAACAGGGGTGAGGACATATGATTGTTCAACGAAAACAAACTTTACGATGCGAGCGATGCTTTTGTGGACCATAAGTGACTTTCCTGCATATGGTATGTTGTCTGGGTGGACTACACATGGACGATTAGCTTGTCCATATTGTAATGGAATGACAGATGCGTTTCAGTTGAAGCATGGTAGGAAGACTAGTTGGTTCGATTGTCACCGTCGATTTCTTCCCTCCCATCCACCACCCATACCGAAGAAACAAGAAATTGTTCAGGCACAAAAGGGTTGTCAGAGACACTCCTCCTCCATATTTAACTGGAGAACAAATCGAAGCGCAAATCGATTACTACTGTGCTCTAGAAACAGCTCCTCGTGGTGGGAATTGGCATGTTCCCAGTAATATGCCTGATTTTTATGGTGTTCAGCACAATNCATACCGAAGAAACAAGAAATTGTTCAGGCACAAAAGGGTTGTCAGAGACACTCCTCCTCCATATTTAACTGGAGAACAAATCGAAGCGCAAATCGATTACTACTGTGCTCTAGAAACAGCTCCTCGTGGTGGGAATTGGCATGTTCCCAGTAATATGCCTGATTTTTATGGTGTTCAGCACAATTGGCACAAAAAGAGGATATTTTGGGATTGCCATATTGGAAAGATCTTCTTTTGCGCCACAACCTCGATATGATGCATATAGAGAAGAACTTTTTTGAGAACATCATGAACACTATATTGAACGTCCCAGAGAAGACGAAAGACAACGTAAAATCGAGGTTAGACTTACCCGATATCTGCTCAAGGAGTGAGCTGCATATAAAAAGCAATGGGCAAGTTCCAGTTTCAATATTCAGACTGTCATCAGAGAAAAAGTCTGCGTTGTTCAACTGGGTGGCTTCAGAAGTGAAGTTTCCTGATGGGTATGTTTTTAAGCTTGTTTAATAAAAAAAATGAATTTGGGATTTAGGTGTAGAAGAGGTTAGGAGTTTAGTTGTAGAAGAGGTTATAAGTTAAGGAAGTTGTGGTTTGGGGTTTGGGGTTTCGAGTTTAGGGAATTACAAATCGTTTCCTCGTAAAGCCCTAGTAATAGAAAACACGGGCATAGCTATTTCCTCGTAAGCATTACTAGGACTTTACGAGGAAAAAAACGCGGGCATAGCTATTTCCTCGTAAATATTTTCCTTGTAAAGTCCTAGTGTTATTATTTCTAGGACCTTACTAGAACCTTACGAGGAAATGAAAAACACGGGCATAGCTGTTTCCTCGTAAAACCCTAGTAATATTACTAGCGCTTTACGAGGAAACAAAATTCCTTATATATACACGAGCAATCCGACTTCTCAGTCATAGTAAGTTCCTCTCCATATTCTCTTAAGGTACACTCTAGTTCCTTGTTAGGTGATTAGATTAGGTGGTTAGTTTAGGGAATTTAGATTAGGTGGTTAGTTTAGGGAATTTAGATTAGGTGGTTAGTTTAGGGAATTTAGATTAGGTGGTTCGATTAGGAAATTTAAATTACGTTTGTTTAACTGTTTTTAAAAATTATACAAATTTATACGCGAATTAATGTTTTCTGTTTTTTTTTTTAAATTTAGATGGTTAGAAAGAGCAAAGTTGCTGCTGCTCAGTCCAGGAGGCCTGTAGATCAGGGGATTCATTATGCGGATCTATTCGGGCCCGGTTCGTCTTCGTCAGCTCCCGCTGGTTCACCTTCGGGAGTTCCCGAGACCCAGGGAGGTTTTACGGCATCCCGGTCTCAGCAGCCACCTCCTCAGCCTCCTCCTCCTCGTCCTCCACCGGTCGGGATTCATCCTGACTTGCAGGTGCCGCCGTACGCACCATTTGCGGTGTACACGGTGGAGGATATTTTGGCCCTTCCAGGCAGAGAAGGGCTGCCAGAGTTAGATCGTCACCGACGGGACGGCCAAAACGTATTATGGTATGTTTTAATTTTAAAATTTTTGATTAATTAATTTTTAAAAAGTATTATGGTATATTTATGTTCTAATTAATGATTTATTTTCTGTCTTTCCAGGTTTGGTCTTGACAATGCTGTCGGATCTAGCGTCACGGACTGTATCAAGGGATACTTTCCCGATGCAGCTCCAAACTGGAAGCTGACGGCGAGCCACACCAAAAAGACGTGGTTCAAATCGTTCGCTGTAAGTTTAGTAAATCAATTTAATTTATTTTTAATNTTTATTTTCTGTCTTTCCAGGTTTGGTCTTGAC